CTGCGCTACACCGGGAGGGGACCGTGTCCAGGGCTCTGTCCCCCGCCGAGTCTGTGCCCCCCCGGGTTCTCCTGGGGCAGCTCAGCCAGGGAGCCTCCCCGCCAGCCAGAAAGACCGGGACCGGCCCAGCTCTTCCTCTCCTGGTGACTTGGTCTGAGGATTTGCCTCGACTGTAGAAACGAACTATGACACAGAGCTCTCCGTGACCTAGCCTTGACTTTTATTGACTCTCCAAAAACGTTGCTGTTATCGGCAGGGGTTTATTTTTACATGGAACTTTTCACATTTTTTTTAAGAGAGTTGCTGACATGGCTGGTCTACTGACCCAGCTGGGAGAGCAAGCAACATGGCACAGCAGGACTTGCAGAGCCCCATCCGTGTGAAGCTTAGAGTACTGGATGGACTGAACCCTTCTGAGGTCATCCTATGTTGCTCAGTTCATCTCAAATTAACAATTAACATATATCAAACCAAATGAAAACTGACATTGTTCCTCACACAAGTCAGAAGGTGCTTTGCTATCGATTTCAAGGATTAGGTTGTTGAAAAGATTTGCTGAACCAGCATGTGAGCTAGAATGAATCAGGTTGCACGGGGAGAGAGAATGGGAACGCAGGGAAGTTCATGGGAGCATATCAGCAGGCAAAACTGCTGCAGATTTCTCAGAGTTGGATGGTGATAAGCCGGCTGAGACAGGCAGAATGATGATCCAACTCAAACAATTCTTCTGCACCATTGTGGAAGAAAATAAAAGTTAATCTTGCTTATCCCTGCAAGTATCGGCACTTCCTCATTTCTGCAGAACTATTCTGGCTATCTCAGACTGGCTGGCAGTTGTCAGTAAAAGGTGGAAGCCTCACCAGAAACTTAGTCTGCAAGACTTCCTCTTGATTTGCAAAGTAAGGACTAAGGCTATCTGAAAAGAAGAATTAAATATCTGAATGACTGGCTGCTTAGTAGAACCAAATCTCAGACTCGGTCTCGAGGCAAGAAAATACTCAGTGCACGGTATCAGCCAATGCAAATCGTCACCAGTTCCTGCACAGAGTGGATGTAAGTGGTACCTGATCGAGAGGCACTCACCCTCCACTGCCAGCGCTGGTCCTCATTTATTGAGTGTCTCCAAGCAAGTCACTGAAGAGAACACTTTTAAAACTAGTTTCTGCCTTTCAATGCTCAGACTAATCAAGCTCATTAAGCTTCAGTTGTTTTTTAGGAGCTGAGACAGATCAGCATACGTTCACCCTGTACTCATAATGTGTTTGCTGGAGCACTATGTGGGGCTGCTTTGGAAAAATTTGGTCGTTGCATGTTGTATTTGCCGGGCATAAAAGTCAAACAGCAGACACTGCTGAAAGCAAGGAGCTAGAAGTATTTGTCATTAGAGTGATTCCGTTACAGTACTCTCCACAGTTCAAACTTGACTTTTATTTTTTACCAGAAATGTAACACTGCAAAAGACATTAAACTCTGTTGAAAACAAACAGGTCCCTATCGGGACAGGAGCTGCAACCAGGTGGAGTGTAGCTGCCTGACTCTGCTCCTCCCTGAGAAGGACATCCAGTGATTCCAGCATGAACTGGTATCTCAGATCTACCCAACAGGACACCCTGCATCTTCCTGATGGGTGATGACATCTTCGCCTCTGGGTCACTGTCCTTATGTACTCATGTAACACATGACCCCATTGCCTGGCAGGATATATGCTACTGGCTGGATCACCAGCTACATCCTTCAGGATGTCCAGGAGTCCTTCTGACATCAGACCAAGGCAAGAAAAGGAGGAGCTGATGTAAGAGCACCTGCAGGACTCCTCAAGGAAACTGATGCCAGCCCTTCTGGGGTCAGACTCACTCCACGGATTTTTTTTTTTCCATAAGACAACACTGGATGATTCATCCTTACGTCGGGCTAGGAAGGCCTCCTCTGCTGAAGAGCAGAGAGGGGTGGGAAGAGAGAAGGCACTCCAAGCAAGGTTCTGCAAGGGCACAGATCACTTCTGAATATCTGCACTCCATCTTACTCATTTCTCTGTTGCCACCCTTCCTGTGCCTGTGGCTGATGAAAGAAAAAGCCCTTTGTACCAGAGTCACTGCAGGGCCTTGAGCACCATCCTTGACACCAGAAAAAGGGCCACAGAGCAGTGCTGAACAGAGCCCAAGAAGTGCAGTCCACCAGAACTCAGTCCTAGTCTTAACCGGTCAAAGGCTGGGCAATGACTCCATTTAAGGCCTCTATCCACTCCTTTTGCTCCCTATCGTTCTCACATATAAACACAAACTCTCTCATTGGTGTGATCACAGTGATCGCTGGTTTCCTCTTCCTCACCCGGACTCCCTGGGGCAAGCCAGCTTGTACTTCATATCCCTCATCCATCCTTCCGATAAAAACCTGTCCCTGTGCAAATGCATCCTGGAAAGAAACAGAAGACAGACATTAGCCAGGGGACAGCGCAGCTCCAGCAGTCACTGTTCTCTCGTTAGACATGGAGTAGGAACTGGAGACACCGATTGGGTGACAGGCAGCAGGAAACACATTGGAGTTTGTTTTTTTTTTACACTCGGGCATTCTCAGGAGGAAGAGAAGGTAGGGACCCACCCTTAAGGAGCTGGTTGGCAGGTGTTCAGAAGGAGCAAGGAAGGATACTCTTGTGGCTAGAGCAGTGCTAGGAAGCAGGATATTGGGGCTGCCAAGGCTCCGGTATTGGTATATTGCTCATCTTGCCCGAGGTTACAGGCGCAACGGCAGCAGGGCTCGGAGAGAGTGGGCTATGAATGCTACAGCCAGTAGCAGCTACTTTTAGAAGACTTCGATCCTCCTCACAGCCACTGTAAGGGCCAGAGTTCCCAAACAGCTCAGCTTCAAAGAGAACCATTGACAAGGGAGATGAGCTCTGGAGACTGAGCTTGCTTCGGTCTCGTGCAGCCACTGGAAGAGCTGGACGAGAGCAAGACCCTTCCTCCCCACCCAGCTTCATGAAGGGGCTTGTGGAATAGCAAAGAACACTCCTCTTACCAGTGGATTTTTATAGTACATCAGGTTCCTTTCTTGAGAATCCAGGCAGAACCAGCGCACCTTAAAGGCCTCCTTCTGCTGCAAGGAGATGGTAGAAGTTCTTTAAAGACCAAGGCCCAAAGGGGAGTTCGGCCTATTCAAGGCAGATCCCTGGACTGCTTAAATGACTCAGAACTTGGAGTTCAGCTCCATTCACCCCCGTAACTGTTAAAAGGTGCGTCACTGCTGTGTGCAGCCCTTGGCTCCCTTTTCCCTGTGTCCACACAAGAGATTTGCATTCAAGGACAATCCCTTGGGTAAGGCTGGGAAGTTTGGTTCTACCAGTGATCAAATTACCAGGATTAAGGAAGTTGCAGCAAATGGATTAACTGAAAGCACTACAGAGAATGATCCCTGGGCCAGTGGCAATAATGAGGAGAGTGTGCCATCAATTTCATCATTTTGGTCTGGGGTGTTGTCCCTAGCATTGCAGGCTGCACGATGGTAGGGACAAATGGTAGTTTTTCTTTTTTTTTTAAAGTGCTAATTCCATCAACTACACTCAATCTGACCATTCCCTGAGCTATTCATTGCCCCATGCTGAACTGAAGGGCCCACTTCTAGGGCTCACTTCAGTTTAAGCAGAATTTAGGCCTCAGCAGAAAAGTATTCTCTGTGCAAGTACCTGAAGGAAGATGTACTGGGAGACTAGCACTGAGCTGGGCCAAAACCTCAGCACATTCAATATCTGCATTTCACCACTGAACTTTTTAATGGGACTTTGGCTCATGGTTCACTCAGAGGAGAGCAAGGCAAGAAGTGGCAATATGTTCCAACAAGATCTCAGATCTTTATCTCCTTCAGCAGAGCCTGAAATCTCCCTCTCCCATTCCAACGAGTAGTAGCGCAAATACGTTCCCACAAAAACTGAAACCAAACCATAGGCTTCGCTGTGGAGAATTTGCTCAACTCTACTTTGCTGCTATCAGCAGATGTGATTTACGTGCTACTGACTTTAAGAGAAACAAGGAAGTAGGGGAGTCAGCATGTGATGTTCTGTTCTAGCAGGAGCTGCAGTTCTACAGATGCAGTTAGCAGACACACCAATCCACTTAGTGCTTTATAACAGGGCTTTGCACGTCCACTGCCAGCTAATCCATCCTGCTTACTCTTCAGGAAGGATTCTTCTTCCCAGTCTTTATTTTCCACACAAAATAAAACATGATCCCAAGAACACAACAGGTTTGAATGTAGTGTCTTTTATCGACCCAGGAAGCATACAGTCACTCAACAAATCGTTTACTAGTATCATAGACAAAACATCATAGAATTATCAAATATTCTCCATCTGGCATAATCCTATTTATGTACTACCAAGTATGCACTTACTTTTGGTCCTGTTTTCTCCATATATCCTTCTTTGACATAATTTCTTGTGATCCTGGGAATGAGCTAGGAGAACACAAACACACACAAAAAAAGCCTGTCTCATTCAAGCTTGCTTTTCTGTTCTGTTTTTGTCAAAGCTAATCACCATAAATTTTGGCTTTTGGGGCCTGGGGTGTTTTGGCTGCTCACTAAAGGGAAGTCTGAAATAAGAAGGAACATAAGATTTTTGAAAGATTACTCTTTATAAGGACTGCATAGAGACTTTTAGGCCTTAAATGTTGACTAGTTTTTGGATGTTATCCAGTGCAGCCTTCCCTTCTACCTCTTCTGTCGATTCCCAAGACCCATATGCTGCTGTTTGAGCACCCGACTCTGAAGAATTGAGAAAACATTTTCCCATGCTATGTTTGCATAGACTGCTTCAAGCCCTGTTCAGTTCTCACCTCAGGCTCAGGGACAGTTGGGAAGGTTGTTCTGAGATAATGGTAACGTGCTGCCCGAATGGCATTGAACCAGTCAACAATCTCCTGGGGAAAACAGCAAATACAAACATAAAGACAAAAATAACCAGAAGGAGGAAGAGTGCTGCCTCTCCAAAATGCCTGTCTCCTTCCTTGTCACCTCTTTGCAAAGATGTACTTTCTCCCCAAGGGGCAGAGAGAGTCAGTGACTTGTCCCAGACACCTGAAAAACATTGAGCCTTCAAAATGATTTTTAAATGTCCCTCCAGGAGGGTCCCAGATATTCTGTGTACAAAGGCTTTTTCAGTTGATTCAGTTACGGATTGTTTAAAAACCTTTGTACCAGAGACATGACAACTATGGCAAGGGAAGAAACAGAAATCTAACAAAACCTGTAGACATACTTCTTAAAATTATAATTGTTTGCTTGGAAATAATGCAGAACAGTATTTGTGGCAAGAAGGCTTCAACGAATGCTTAGACAGTTACCTTACAGAGGTTTACACACATGCTCCACTGAAGCCTTAAGACTATTCAGGGTGTGAAGTTGAATATATGCCCCAACAGAACAGGAGCAAGGGATTATAGTTACTAGTGTCAAACTCTGCAACTTTCTATATTCTACAAGTCATAATGACTTCAAATAAAACCAGACCGTGCAGAAACAGGGTCTCTTTTCCAAAATACAGATCCAACATCTAAGAATCTTGCTTATTCCACAATCTCAATGGTATTCACCTTTCCACTTTCATGATAGACAAAAAGGTTCCTTGTTTGACCATCAGTCTTGTATGTGATCTGCAGCCCATGAGCATGTTGGATTTTTTCTGTCTGGAACATTGCATTCAGATTCCCAATGCTGATAATGGCTTTTGGACCTCTGGACTGTGAAATGAAAAGCATCACTGTATTAAAGTGCTCTCAGGGAAGGTAATGGAGGACAGATTAGCTGTACGAGAACTAGATCCCTACTGAAGAGAAATCAGGCATCCTAAAATATCTGAATATTGGATATACCTGAAATATAAAGCCTTAATTACATGTTTACAAAGAGTGACACTTTCCTTGACAAATGCTGGGTCACTGTTTGAGAGGGATGCATCTGAGTTGCAAGGGATGGGTTCTGTCTCCAGTCCCATAGTTGGAGAACAATTAGCTGTACTCTCCCACAGAAGTGAGACATGTTGAGGATGATGCTGCAGCTGTTGATTAGAGTATATTTTGGCAATATAAGAGGTAACAGCTGCTAACAGATCTCTTCATCTTGCTCTTCAACTGCCAGTATTCATTTCCTTTGTTCACTAAGCAAAAGGAGGCTGCAGGGTTAACATAAGGAAAAGGGCTAAATCCAAAAAAGCAGCTGCCTAAGGTACCATATATGCTAATGGGGAAACATCTGGGCTGCTCCAAACACAGGCTGGCCTGGCTGCAAAACTAGAGGCAAAGCTGTTTATGCTGGTTTTTGCTGGTGAAGAGCAGGGTCTGAGGATGGATGTTGACCAGTTACCTACAGCCAACTCTGGCTGAGGAACTCACTTCTTTGGTGTAGTACTTCATCACCCCTTCTGCTGCTGACAGGAGAAAGTGCCTCTTCTGGAACTGTCTGCTTTCCCGCCCACGCTTCCAGAGGAATCCTTCACGGCTACCTGCAGATCAGACCAAGATAAGTGTCAAAAAAGAGCAGCACAATAGCAGGACTATTAATCTAAATGGTGATGTGGCACAGAGTTTCAAGTCTTTTCTCCATCTGAGAATTTTCACCTCATATGAAAAAATCAGTAGACAACTAGAGAACTGTGAGATCGGAATACACCCTTGCATTTGTCTAAGTGCCTTTTCTTAGGAGCTTCTTCTCAAAGTTAGACTCAAAGCATGGCCTGCACATCAAACAGTTCAAATATGACAAGCCAGCCTTAGAAATCTTCAAAGTTGCAAACAGAACACTGTGCTGTTGACCTTAAGGGTAACACCTTTTCCCTGACAATCCTAACTTTTACCTGCAGAACAAGGATCTTGGCAAACTCGGGTGGCAACAAACTCCTCACGCTCATATTTAGCTCTAATCCATTGATCTCTTAAAACCCTGAAAGAGGAAAACATGGATAAAACGGATCTGTCTCTACCCTATTTTCACCGACCAACCAACGAGACCTGCAGAGGGAAGCAGTAGTTCAACAGCTGTAACGGTCTGCAGCAGTGAATACACCGTTAACTTACAAGCAGTCATGGGACTGGGGGATGTAATAGTAGGGAGGGACTTTCGCCTCATATTTAGCTTTGGCACAGAGATTCCCGTGCTTCTTCATAAACTGAAATACAAAGGAAGTTACAGTTAGGCAACCACAAAATCAATACCATGTCATGAACATAAATTGAAACTTGTATCAAAGGGAGCACTGCACTTTTTGCTCAGTCTCATCATAACACTTAGTGTGTCTCTATACGTGTTTACAAATTCCCTTTGGCACGATAGTTTGCACTTTTTAGGTGGCTGAGCCTTTTCCAGCATTTACAGCTCTGAACCAGATGGGAAGGAACAGAAGATTGTGCTTGTTGATTAAAAGAACAAAAGAAAATAAGGAGAAAAACTATTTGTTTGTGATCTCCCTATACCTTCATCTCCTCCTAGACATTAACTGTGATTATATTATTAACACAATTCAGTTGAAAGATGAGAGGCTGAACCAATATTTAAGAAGAGTATATTGATTACCAAATAGAACATGCTATCTGGAAGTATCTGTGGGCTTCTAAACCACAGTGAGGAGTTACTGTGTGCTCTAAAAAAAATACACTGCAGGCTGTTAGAAACACAGTCACATATCAGTGTAATTTAATTGAGTAGGTCATAAAAAACCCCCAAAGTTACCCATGGAGTTAGCTTGGCTGTGTGTGGCTTTGTTCCTCTGTCCATGGTGGATGACAGGAATGACGAGGCAGAGGAGGTTACGATGAAATGTGGGGAAAAGTAAGTGAATTACTCCTTTTTCCTCTGTACCTCTATAAGATCGTTCTCCCAGAAGTCAAGCCGAAGGGATTTGACCCTGCTGATCTGAGAAAGGTTGCGATGGATTCCAGAGCAATTCAAACAAATGAATATTCCAAGTTTGTAAGAAGCCCACTCTGGATCTAGACACAAAACACAAAGAATTAATTAATACATAATACATCAAATCCCACTCCTTTGTGGGAGTCACTTCACTGCATTCAAGGAACAGCACCTGCTTTCCACAATGAAGAATGCGGCCCCTGCATTTGTTGTCTCTTTCACCGAGTATTTATTTAAAAATTAACGTGACTGCAGGCAGCCGAGTGGTGATGTAAAAGCTCAGCTAATTATCCGCTCTGCGTGGAAAGCTGCTGTTGATGAATGAACAACGGAAGGATGTTGCAGACAGTGAGCACTGGAGTACAATGGGGTATAACCACGCAGAGCGAGGACTCAAGTGGCCGCTGCCCACAAAAGTTCCTGCTCTTCCCTGCTGCTGCGTCCCCTGAAGCGGCCTTGACAGGTCCATGCTTAGGGACGTTCTGAGTGCTCTGGCAAGACTATTTCCTTGGATCGCCACTGTCACCATGTCACCCTCCACTTCTCCCTTATCACATCAAACAGAAGCTACTTGTCGTCTTCTTCCAGCGGCTGCAGGCTACTGATCGACTGCTGGCTTTGGTCAGGGTGCCTCCCACCTCAACCAGCGCAGGTGCAGCCCGCTGTGGGCTTCCCAGCGGCTCCTCGGTGCCTCTCTGGGTGCCAACCCCAGTGCAAAGACATTCCTCCCAGAGCCAGCAAACCGCCCCACGCGCTCTCCTCCGCTGCCCTGCTACAGTCTACAAATAACTCTGGGGAAGCTGCTGC